AAACGAACGGAATTTTTTTTAACATATACACTAATTAAACATCCAGATCAAACCCAGATTTGCACCACAAACCCACTACACTTCATTTGTAGCGAGCCTCTAACTCACTAGGTCAAGCTGGCTGTATTCATTGCAACTGGCAATGCCTTAAGAATTCAGATCAATGCTTGCCTTAATTAATAAAAACACAAGTTTGAAATAAACTCAAAAAAAATGCATAAAGGAATATTTTAACCATTGAGTGAAAGATCTTAATTCACAAGTACAGCAGAAACCATCTAAATCATCCCCAAAATTCTGAATTTAGAACGGCAAAAATAGCCAGGTTGCACTTTTCAGTCGTTTCCATGGAAACAGTATTGTTATCTGTTCTGAACTTCATTTTATTCCGTGCTCCGCGTCCCATTTTTAATGCGAATGACAATGCACAATAGTTTGATTTACGTTATCTACCCTTGCGGTTAAACTTACTGTTAAAGAGAGACTTAGACACCTGCAATTTAATTATCTTATTCATTAGCACTATATACCTCCACATTTTCTCCCACAGTTGGCTCAAAACCATCAACATTTTGATTTGAATAACCGTCGTCGATTAAATTTGAGAGGCTTTGGTGTCGAGTTTGAGAATGACAGAATATCTCACGTTCTATTCGTAAATGCACTATCGTATCATGCAATATAGGTTTAGCTAGTGTATCGCAACTGTACAATACATCTGACTTATTCATCCTAGAAAACAAATTTGAATTAAAAAATTAATTTACGTTGTTTAGATTACATAGGGCCTGGAACACGTCTGCTACTGGTATCCAACGAGTATAAATTCATGTCGCGAATTTCCACGCTGTAGTGTTCCATTTTCGATTCAACATGATCCCAACTTTCTTTTGTCTGTTTATTATTGCAATTCGTAATGGACGTCTTTCCAAGATGGGCTACAAACACTTGAGCGCTGCTATGCGTTCGTGGAACGATAACAACTGGACTGTCCAGCACCACATCTAACCTAATTAAAAAATGTAAAATTGTCCGAAGAAAAGGCTAATACCTCATATCGATCATGAAATTATCCTCATCTGCTGGGCTGTAGGGTGTTTGCGGAATGGTGTCACGAACAGATGAGGAACCCGAGTATCCATCACCGTACTCCATAAATCCGCCACTATTGTACCTGCTTCTTTTACGAGGTGTCATTATATCAGACAGTGACATCGCGCTACCGTATAGCGACGCAGAGAGCCGCGAGTTCAAATATAAAGACTGAGCTAACGCTTCAGCTCTACAACAGGAATAAATTACTTAAAACTGAGCGCGGCACGTAAGGTCTTACTTTGCATGGACTAATCCCAAAGCCATATCGGTTGCTGCAGAACGTATGGAGCGTGCTAAATTGGCTAGGTATTGTTTAAATTCGGTTACGCAAGACTGCAGCTCCATCAAAAAGTGAGGTGAATGTGTGTACCACACAGATGCCATTCTTATAGTTACAAGTGCCAAATCTAGAACAATGGAGCCTCATTAAAACAGATCTGTACCTAGTAATAGTACAAGAATGAATAATCTACATACTCAGTCTTCATAAGTGTCCAATGCCAAGCATACCAACAATTAAAAGCAGATGAAGAGGCCACCGATACATTGACAATGATCAAAACTTT